CCCGCCACAACGCCTGGCCATTTTTTGGTTGCAGCCATCATTGTTATTTGGTGGGCCCGGGCTGGGGATTCGAACCCGCCACCTTAGGTGTATGTGGCTGACGCCTTAGCCGCTTGAGCCACAGGCGCCGAGCCTTTAGTTTTATTTTTAATCTTGTTTTTCACGGAGGGAAAAATGCCATCTGAGTTTGATTTGTGTTTCTTTACTCATAAGGGTCATAAGGGTGTGTCTTTTAAAGAGTTTGTCTGCTTATATTTTTTCTTTGCAAAATTTCTGCTTATATTTTTGGTTCTTTTTTTTATTAGGTTGTTCCTTTTCAGAATCAGTAGGAATGGTTAGTGAAATAGCAGTAATGGCCAGAGATTGTGTTTTGCTAATATATTTTTAAAGTCTACCTTTTTTTTTAGAGTCAGAGTCTCACTCTGTCGCTCTTGGTAGAGTGCTGTAGCATCACAACTCACAGTAACCTCCAACTCCTGGGCTTAGGCGATTCTCTTGCCTCAGCCTTCTGAGTAGTTGGGACTACCGGTGCCCACCAGAACACTCAGCTGTTTTTTGGTTGCAGTTTGGCCGGGGCGGTATACCCCCCTTGGTATATGGGGCTGGCACCTACCCACTGAGCCACAGGTGCCGCCTCCTAAAGTCTACCATTTCTTTCATTTACCTCGGTTTATGTTTTATTTATAGCTTAGAAATTAAAATTTGCTGTGCATATGTTACTCTTATAAATTAAGAAAACTTTGATTTTCTAAAGGTCAGTATTAAAATTATTTATCTGGTGGTGGTTTGGGTGTGCTCTGACTAGAGGTCAGGTGTCACCAGTGAGCATGAGGGTCTGAGACAACAAAGGAAGCTGGGTGGGGCTGGGGGCTTGTGGACTGGATCTGACTGCTCAGTCTGGATGTTTTCTTTGTTTGTCTGAGTATTGTTCCTTGTAGGTAGGAGTTCTTCCCAGGGTTATAGAGTGGTCCATCATGGTTTGAATAAACTAATTTTAAATTTCATTCAGTGATCGCTCATCAGTGTATGTGTGAAGTGCTCCCTCAGGTTAGGCATCCTGTGTCCCCATAAGATCTCTGTGGGAGCTGTAGAGTAGATGCTGTGTGTTCTGATGGCACTTGAGGCCTGTGCTGGTGTCTCCATGTCTGTCTAGTCATGCATAGGGTCATTTGACATGTGCTTTGTTAAGCTCCACTGATCAAACACAGAGCTGGGTGCCTGGACTTGACAGATTATTTTAAAGTGGAAAATTTTGCCTTTTTTCCTTTGGAAAATTCTGTAGCTTTTTTCCTTTGTAGGTAATTGGGGCCCTCACCTTGTTGTTGTGAGAAGTTGTAACATACTCAAGTGGGAACTTGAATTGAAACGTTGGTGTCCTGGGCTCAAAACCCTCTCATATGTCGGCAGCCACAGAGAACTTAAAGCAAAGAGACAGGTATTTTTTGAAAAATATGAAACTAACCAGAAAAACATCTTAATTTTCATAGAAGATATTTTAAAATGTGAAGACATACTTACTAACATAATTATTATCTTTCATTTATTGATGAGATACAAAATGTTCAAGCTGTCCCTAGTTTCTGAATACCTTGGCAGTATACCCCACCTGCCTGCTCCTTACCTATAATGAGGGCCATGCACAACCAGGCCAGGGATGCGCAGGGCTCAGTCTCAACTTTCCAACAGCAAGGGACATGGTGTTCTCTGGAAATAGGTGTGGGCCCCATTGATTTTCACAAACATAAATGAGAGGTTGTGATGCATCCTTGTTCTGAATTATAAACTCACAAGATAATTTCCATGGGATTCCTCTTTTAGGAATACTTGTGACTTATAGCTAAGTTATTAGAAGAAATTTGGAGTTTTTTTCTTGCCTGGGTCACCCAGTAGTTTCTAGTACCAGATCACAAAATAAAGGTGTACTGATCACAGTTTTTCATTGAATATAAATGTTTGGTTTATCATTAGATGTTACTGTGTTATAATGTTTAGTGAAAGAGCAAGTACCTTGAGATGTATCTTCTTTTTTTACTATCTGTCTTAGTCTGTTTATGCTGCTGTAACAAAATCTCACTGGCTGGATAATAAAGAACAATAGAAATTTGTGTCTTACCCTGCTGGAGGCTGGCAAATACAGGTTGCCAGCAGATTCAATGTCTGGTTAAGGCCAAGTTTCTGCTTCCAAGATGGGGCCTTGTTGCTGTGTCCTCACATGGGAACAGTGCAGAAGGGCAGGCAGATCTTAGTTAGTTCTCTCCAGCCCTTATGTAAGTCCTGACCATTCATGAGGGCAGAGAGGTCCACCACTTAACACTCATACCAGGAGTTTGGGAGGAGACATGTTCAAACTATAGCACTGTTTCTAGTTTTAATTTGTTTTTTAAAAGCTTGTAATGCACTTTTTGCAACATAGATATTCACATTTTTTATCAGTGTTCTTCCTTGTTCAGATTATATACTATAAAAGCTTGTCTCTCTTCTAGTAGAAATGGGAAGAGCTTCATAGAGTTTCCTTTATGATAATTTATTTTCCAAGTAACGATTGTTGGTGTCTCTAAAGCAACTTACTAATTTGTCAAATTGATAAATACTTTTTGTCTAAAAGTGTTTTAGACTCCTAGAGGAAAAGGTAAAAAGATAGACTCAGCCCTTTTCTGTGTTATAATAGCAAGTTCCTAAGAAAATCGAGTAAAATTAATCATGGGTGGGAACAGTTTAATGGTAACACTCTGGAAAGTCAGTGTTCTCAGGTGACTACGAAAGACAAAGAATACAAAGAGGCTCAGGCCTCCTTTCTTTACTTCAGGAGTGGGCCACGCCCAACAGCTTCCACGTCTGCCTCACGTCCTACACACAGTTCTTCAGGGGCTATACCGCCTTCTCGCGAGTACGCTGGAAGTGCCTTGTCATCGATGAGATGCAGCGCGTGAAGGGCATGACCGAGAGACACTGGGAAGCCGTCTTCACCCTGCAGAGGTCTGAACTGCTATTCAAGCATTGGGTGCTGTGCTCTCACCACTGAATGCTCCTTCAGCATGTTGAAGTAAAGGGTTCTTTTAAAGAAATTCAGATAGTTGCAGATACACAAAGAATTACCTTTTCCCCTTTATCATAGCAAATAGAGCCAGAGAAACCCCAGGAGTTGATTCACTTCGGTCCCTTCTTTTAAGGCTTGTGTGTGTTTATGTTACTCTGTAGAATCACTCCTACATCTGGCTGTGTGTGGCTTACTTAAGAGTATCATGGCATCTCTTATCTCGTCTGCAGCCAGCAGCGCCTGCTCCTGATTGATGCACCGCTGCACAACACCTTCCTGGAGCTCTGGACCGTTGTGCACTTCCTTATCCCCGGGATCTCCAGGCCCTACCTGAGCTCCCCACCACGTGCCCCAAGTCCGGAGTGCCAGGACTACTACCACAAAGTGGTCATAAGGCTTCACAGGGTATGTCTACCTTTGTGCTTTCAGCTAACTCATTTAAAATGCATATGCCTTAAACATATTATGAAATTGGTTTTGGAAAGAAAACAATAAATAGGTTTTTTCTTTTTAGGTGACACAGCCATTTATTTTGAGGAGAACTAAAAGAGATGTGGAAAAACAGCTGACAAAGAAATATGAGCATGTTTTGAAATGCCGCCTTTCTAATCGACAAAAGGCTTTATATGAGGATGTTATTCTGCAACCTGGGTATGTGTAGGGTCTGGGCATGCACCCCTTCACCCTCCCTGGCTGAGAGCTGGGGCCCTCCCTGTGACCTTAGTAGTAGGTTCCCTCCTGGAAGGGCCAGGGTCCAGCGGGCTCTGCAGTCTCTGATGCTCCCAGTCCTCTCAGGCCCACTCCACAGGCTGCACTAGAAGTTTTCCTATGTAGCTGCCCACTTTCCCATTCCCACTATCATTGTTGACCAGGTTAGTCTCACGATAGTATAGGTTTACCCCGGAGCAGGACTATGCCAGACCAGCTAGTCTTTTCTCAGCCAGCCATAGCACCCAGGGCCTAGGCTAGCTGTGACCTTGGAGGAAGGCAGCATGCTGGTGTTGTGGGCAGGCAGATGATGCAGGAAACATGTCTTAGGATGAACCGCATGTGCTGTCCCTCTGACTAGAGTTGACACAGCTCCCTGTAACTTATTCCACAGTACTCTCAAGTGGTTGTTTGGGTTCTTCCAGTCATGCTGTTTTCCTGAGTTTAGACAAAACAAAACCCATGGAAGTCAAGGTTTGCAGGATTTTTAGTTTTGGGGGGCTTGGTAATGACTCCCTGCTGTGTGTCTGCTCTTAGAGCTGAGAAGAATCATGTGTGGTGTGGTATGCTTCTGGTTTGACCGATGCCACCACCCAGCCAGCCTGCATGGGGTCACCACATTCCAGATACTCCCATGTGTCTGTTAGATAACTGCTACTGCTGACCTGGCCACCCACCTCATGTGGGAAAAGGACTTGGGGCTACTAGTGAGGTGCTACAAGAGGTGGATTGGAGTTGATGGTGTGAGGACATGGTGGGGCAGAGATGGTGTGGGCAGAACTGTGGCTTATAGGCAGCTGGGCCGAGCCCCTGTGGTGAGGCCAGGGTTCACCTTCCGCACTTCACCCCCAAGTCTGTAGGAGGAGCACGCACTTGGTTTGTGAGGGTTTGTAGCTATGCATGACAATTCTCACAGCAGCACACACTGATCACCCTGAGTGAAGTGTCTCATGTCTTCTTCCTCGAGCAGAACTCAGGAAGCTTTGAAGAGTGGGCACTTTGTCAATGTCCTAAGCATTCTAATGAGGCTGCAGCGGATCTGCAATCACCCAGGGTTGGTGGAGCCACGGCTGCCAGAGTCCTCCTATGTGGCAGCGCCTCTGGAGCATCAGTCAGCCTCTCTGGTTCTAAGGGCTCTGGAGAGAGAGCTGTGGAAGGTAAGTGGAACCCTCACATTACAGATAAAACCATTCTTGGAAATTAGTTCCCAGCAGCAAACTGCTGTCTTGCATTTTGAAGCTGTTTGGTACTTGACACTATATGGCAACATTTGTAGTCACATCTCTGACCACTGGAAATCTACTCCAGGGAGATAGGCTCAGGGTGCAAAAGGGTGCGGATAGAATTGTTTCTGGTGTTACATGGGATAGGGGCCACAAGGAAGATCCTGAGCCTGCACATATCTAATGTAGGGCTTTGCAGGGCCATGGAGTTGCCAGTTATTGACTCTGGGCAGCTTCTGGCTCACTGAGTGCAGAGTGGTGTCCCTGTGGGCACATCTGCATGCTCCCATGGGGTCGGTGTGCTATAGACCCACAGCATGCACTCTTGCCCCTGCCCTGTGCACCATCATGAGGGTTTGGGCAAGGTTGAATTTCCTGCTATGTAATGTGGGGACAGTCATGTACTTCTGTAGCTGTGTTCTGCATGGATGTTTCATAGATGGCATCTGACACCTGAGAGTTTGGTGCATGCTGTTTTTTGTTATTTTCTTTTATTCAGTGAGTATTTATCAAGTCCTGCTGGATGCTGGATGCTTTTCTAGGCAGTGGAACTAATACAGCAGTGAACAGGGCAGCTGGCAGCCCTGCCCCTCTGGGGTGTGTATCTGTTTCTCTCTTTCTCTCACAGTGTCTGGAAAGATTTTAGTAAAATGTTATTAACTTATCCCTACATGGTAGAAATTTGATTTTTTTTTTTTTTTTTTTGCAATTTTTGGCCGGAGCTGGATTTGAACCTGCCACCTCTGGCATATGGGGCTGGCGCCCTACTCCTTTGAGCCACAGGCACTGCCCGAATTTTGATCTTTTTTAAACAAGAAAGTATACTTGTATACTTTCCTATATTTGAATTTTGGGATAATGAGAATTATTTATGAAACTAAAATTTTTGAAAGAAGAGAAATTGGGTCAGATTGAATGATACTGAGCATGAAAATACAGGGCTCATTGGCTCCCACCGGCTGCTGCATGTGGGGCCAAGGACTTGTATCCACATTCCTGATCTCCCATCTTTTCTGTGAGGGAGACTCTACTCACTGACCCCACCTGGGGAGGGTGGGCCAAAGCCAGAGGTCTGGACATATGTCTGCCTTGCTCTCTGACAGCTGGCTTTGTCTACCTCCAAGTCATTCACTGCAGGAGATGGTTCTAGACCTCTCATGAAGAAGGAGGTTGTGGGGACTGAGCAGGTCCACATTGTCACCATCTGTGGAAGGCCTGGATGGTGAGCAGGACACAGGTGCTGTGTGAGAGAACTGGTATAAATGTTATTGCTTCTGCTGCCACTGCGATAGCCACTGTTAGCATAGCATTATCCTTTTTACTGAATTGAAGAAAAACTGAACCATGTGGAAATAAAGATGAACCAGAGACAGATTTCCTACAGGTATGAGGAGAGATGTTACATACATAGTAATTTTTTTTTTTTTGCAGTTCTTGGCTGGGGCTGGGTTTGAACCCGCCACCTCTGACATATGGGGCCAGCGCCCTACTCCTTTGAGCCACAGGCACCACCCATACATAGTAATTTTTATAGTGTGTTTTTATTTTAAAAACAGCTTTATTGAGGAAATTCACATGCCATAAAACTCAACCTTTATAAAGTATACAGTTCGTTGGTTTTGTTACAGTGTTAGAGTTGTGCAACCCTTACCACTAATTCCAGAACATTTTGTTAACCAAAAAGAAATCCCACACACATTAGCAGTCACCCCCATTCTCTCTGCCCTCAGCCCCTGGAAAATAGCAACCAACATTCTGTCTCTGTGGATTCACTTTTTCTGGCCTTTCACATAAATACAGTACTGTACTATGTGACTTTTTATATCTGGCTTCTTTTGCTTAGTGTAATGTTTTCAAGGTTTATCTACATCAGCGGTTCTCAACCTGTGGGTTGTGACCCCTTTAGGGGTCAAAGGACCCTTTCACAGGGGTCACCTAAGACCATCCTGCATATCAGATATTTACATTACAATTCATAACAGTAGCAAAATTATAGTTATGAAGTAGCAACAAAAATAATTTTATGGTTGGGGGTTACCACAACATGAGGAACTGTATTAAATGGTCATAGCATTAGAAAGGTTGAGAACCACTGATCTACATTGTAGCATTGTCAAGAATTTCACTCCTTTATAAGGCATATAAGGATATGAATAATATTCTGTTGTATGGCTAGAGCACATTTTGTCTATTATTCATCAGTTGGTGGGCAGCTGGGTGGTTTCTACTTTTTGACTATTATAAGTAATGTTGCTATGAACATTTGCATATAGAGGTGTGTACAGACTTGAGTCTGTACCTAGGAGTGGGATGACTGGGCCATGTGGCCCTCCATGTTTAGGACCTGCCTGACTGTGTCCCCAGTAGCTGCATCAGTTTACACACCACTGGGGAGTGTGGGGGTTCCCTTCCTGCGCACTCTCACCTTCCTAATGTTGTGAGGCTACGCTTGAGACGTTCAAGTCCTCAGCACAGTGCAGGTGAGTAGTGCTGGAGAAGGGGGATGTGTGCTTGGGAACCGTGGCAAGAGAAAGTTCTAGACCTCTTGTGAAAAGGGAGGCTCCAGCACCCTCCTCCCATTGCTGTTGGGCCCAGCCCTATGGCTGCAATGTGGCTCAGTCCTCCCCACCATGTATGTTCCTCCGTCACTGAGAGCACAGGTGGCTGCCTCCCTGGTCTCTACCTCTCAGGTGGCTGCCTCCCTGGTCTCTGCAGCTGGCCTCTCAGGGGTCACAGATAGGAAACATGGTGCTGTGCTCCCATACCAGCCTGCACACAAATGCTGGCACACTCAAGGCCCCAGTCCTGTCACTGCTTCTTAGAGAAACCTGTCCTATCCACACTCTGCAGACCAGACACTGCCTGGCTCTGGTCTCCCTTTTCTGTCAAATCTAGTTTGTCTTAGTGCTGACTACTCTAGCTCGCTGTCACTAGAAAGGATCAAGTGTTTCTGGTTTCAAGATGGGGAATAGACACGTGGGGCCTTGGCCTGCCCACATCAGAGCACACAAAGGATTAGGAATGCTTCTCAAGGAAGACACCTGCTTTGGGGCCCACCCTCCCACTTTGAAATAGCTTCTCATTCTTAGTCAAGTGCTTTTTCTACCACATCATATACTAAGCTTTTCCTCCCCCCCTTTTTCTACTTAGGAAACGGATCTTTCTATGTTTGATTTGATTGGGTTAGAAAATAAAATCACTCGCCATGAGGCAGAATTGCTGTCTAAGAAAAAGGTCACGCGAAAACTCCTGGAGGAGATTGCCACCTCACCACCCCCATCAGCCCGGCTGGTGCCAGTGAAGCTGAAGGCCAGCAGGTGTGTGGTATGGCTAGAAGCACTGGGGGGCTTGTCTGCTCACTGGCTGCTTGATGGGTGGCTCCTAGTGCCATGGGGTTAGGTTCCCTAGCTAGCCCCAGGCTGTATGTGCTGACGAGAAAGGCTGCTCGTCTGAGCTGGTTGTCTGCTTCTCCTGAGAATTTCCAGTCATCCTGGTTTTGTGCGGGTAACTGGCTGTGGTCACTCACCTGCCCAGAAGAGCTGCCTTTCTTGACATCTGGAAGACAGCCTGGGGACGGTGAAGCCTTCAGGGGTGAATCTAATCTGGAGCCTGCTGTGGTGACAGCTGATGTGGCCGGAGCAAGCAGCGACAGCTGAGTCACATCTTCAGTGATGCTCTTGCAGGTGTCAGGAGGCCATTTAGGGGTGGTGGGCGGGCATATTAAATGAAACTAAAGTACAGATGATTAAGACAGGCCAAGTTCAGTGATCGGAAATGAGCGAAATCCTAGGCCCAGGGCAAAAAGGGAAGAAAAAGCAGAGAAAGTAGGTATTGTATGGACAGGAGGGGCTAGCCCTGCAGACTGGTGGCCTGTCTAGTCTGCTGCATCTGTCATTGGCTGCCATGGAGGCTGTGAGCTTCCCACTCTCCTCACGAACACTGACAGGGTGGCTTTACCTGGTGATGTCCTGAGCCACCAGACTGCTCCTCAGGGAGCTTGCAGCCCTCAGTTAAATGCATAGATGGTGTTTAGACCCATTGGTGCCAGTGTGGCTTCATTAACAGCTTTTGATGGTCACCTCTATTTCTTAGTTTGTAGATATGTTTTGAAAACTGCCATTACAGTTTTCCAGGTCACAGAAAGAGCATGTTCTGTGTCTGTCACCTGAATTGCCATGTTATTAAATGGTTTTGTATGTTGAATTTTCTTCCCATTTCACTTTTATTCTGCATGAGGGTATTATAGACTTATGTGCTAGATGTGTTTCTTCTAATCAACATTGATGTGAACTCAAAAATTAGATAATGTTTATTCCTATATCATCAAGAGTCAAGGTAGAGGTCTCACTTTGATACACTGGGTCTTGTCAGCCCCTCCCCTGACTCACAGGAAGCTGTACAGAGCAGCACTGAGAATTCTTTGCTCTGTCCCCTTAAGCTGCCAGGAGCCCCCAGCTGCCTCTAGACGTGGTCCTGTGTTATCAGGGCTCTCTCTTGGCAGCCTGGTGATGCTCTGTATATCTTCTTGCCTGGACCAACGGGCATCTAGGTTGTTTCAGCCTGTGCAGTATGGCCAGAAGCCCGAGGGCCGCACCGTGGCTTTTCCCAGTACCCACCCGCCCCGGACTGCAGCCACCACCACGGCTACTGCTGCTTCACAGGGCCAGCCTCGAGGACGGCCACCTGTTGCCACATTCTCTGCAAATCCAGAGGCAAAAGGTAGACTTTGTATAACTATCTGTTCTCAGTGTTACAAAAGGTTTTTGTGGAAGTAGCTCATGGTGCTTTCCTCTTGCCCTCTCCTGACATTGTGGTCATTCCCCTTGAGTGGGGACGGGAAATGTCACTGGCTCTCTGAAGAGGCCATGTGTTACTCTTTTTTTCCCCCCATGTGTCATTCTTGATGAGTTTTAAACTTTTTTCCTTAAAATGGACTTTTCCCCCCCATTTAAGAAGTTTTACTCTTAGTTGATGATTATTGATCTAATGATGGGTACACTTTGGCAGAACATTTTCTTTTACATAGGTGCGTGTGTATCGAAGTCATTGAGGAAATGCCTTTTCTTGTTGTAGTTTTTTTGTTGTTGTTTTTTTTTAAAGAGATAGGAATCTTGCTCTGTTGCCCAGGCTGGTTTGATACTCCTGGGCCCAGGCGATCTTCAGGCCTCTGCCTCTGAGTAGCTGGGACTACAGATGCGCGTCACCCTGCTTAGCTCATTTAGGAAACTTATAAGAAAGTCTGTTCTTGTTATAATTGTTATAATTTGTGCCATCATTTCAACGGAACTTTATTCCTTTGAAGAAAGATGGGTTAAATAACACAAATGGTAATGCGATAGTTAAAAATAACATCCACTATCTGGTCAAAGGGGCCTCCACATTGTGTCCATGTGGTTTTTTGAGAGATAAATAAATGTTCAGAACTGCATTGTTCCAAGAACTCTTTGTAAAGATAAGAATGGAAACTCTGATTATGCTTTTTTGTGTGTGTTTGGGAAGTAGTTTCTAGTTAATATTAATGTTTGGGCTGACTTTGAATACTTTCCTATTTACTCTGAGAAACATACTATATAGTGTACTGATTTGCTCCAAGTGGACATAATGAACTGTACATATAAAGTTTTATTTTTCTCACTCTATAGACTATATTGGCCCCTTCCTTTCTTTCCCCCCAAAGAGAGGGCTTCTTATTTGAGTGGTAGTGTGAAATAATGTTTATTTTATTTCTTAAAGTTCGGGTTTAAAATATTGCATTTTATTAAGAACCTCTAACAGCTTTGCACAAACCAACCTTATCAATTGCAGTGGCAGCAGCCCCGTTTCAGACCTCTCAGGCTTCCACCAGTGCTCCAAGACACCAGCCCGCCGCGACCTTCGGCACAGCCGCTAGCCCAGCCCATCCTGCGAAACCGCGGGCTCAGACCGCTGCACAGGCCTCGGCCCCAGGCCTGCCCCTGCCCCCGCCCCCGGCCCCCTCGCGTGCTGCCGGGCAGAGCCCCTCGCACACAGCCGGGCAGAGCCCGCTGCCTCAGAGGCTGGTGCTCACCTCGCAGGCCCAGGCCCGCTTGCCCAGTAAGTGGCCTTTCCAGGTCTCCACCATCTCTGCCCAAGAGCGGGCGTGCTAAGAACACTGGTGCGTGAAGCGCCTTCTGTCCACTCCCTTGTCTCTTCCCATCCCTCACCCTAGTGCTGCCTTGTCCCAGCCATGCTGTCTGGCAGGGAGAGGCCTCTCCAGAGGCCAGCAGCAGGGTCCTCCCCTGCTCTCTGTTCTTTCTCCTCATCCCCTTGTCCAACTCTGCTTTCCTGCTGCATTTACTGCACTGCTTGGGGTGCTGTTTATAGCACTTGTACCTGTGTTAGCCAGGGTCTTCTCCCTCACCACATGGCCCACTCTAGGGAGATAGGATGATAGGGACTGCTTTTGGAAACATGACCTCCTTGCCAACTATGGGAACTGGCTGTAGGTTTCTAGAGACTGTTAGGGGTTTTTTTTGTTTGTTTTTTTTAAGGCTAGTCAAGTGAAGCAGTGTGAGTGGAGAAGGAACAAAGGAATCTGTAACTGGTTGTGATCAATTAGTTGTAAACACCACTGCACTTGGACCAGCCCATTAGGTGTTTTTAGTGTGTCATTTATTACCAAATTTAAACTTGGCATAAGTAATTGTTTAGCCATATATTTTGTAATAATTTATTGACAAAAAATGCGATGTTGTTATTATTATTTTTTTTTAATATGGAACTTTTTACTGTGGTCAGTAGGATTAGTGTGTTTTCAGACGCCATATGGACCCTATTCATTCTGTTGTGGAAATTATCCTAACTTAAATTATAGGTTATATCATTTCTCAAATCCCACCTCAACTGCTGTGTTTGTTGGCATTATCTTAACTTAAATTATGGGTTATATCATTTCTCAAATCCCACCTCAACTGCTGTGTTTGTTGGCATAACAAAACTCTCTTGAGGCCTTTCTGGAAAGACAGAAACTGGAGGAGTGGTGGTGCAAGGAGACCTTGAGTTTGGGTGAACTTTCCCTCTCCTATTGCCAGCAGATGAGAAGGAGCTGTCCTAGTCCATGGCCCTAAGGGAGAAAGCATAACACGAGCTTTCTGTGTCCGTAGGACTAGACACAGCCTTGTGGGAATGGGTAGAGTGGCATTGGGTGTGTGTGGGCTGTGAGGGGTGAATGAGGGAGCAGGGTCACTGACCCTGTGCGTGGACTGGGAGGGCTTACAGGAGAGTGATGTTTCTATGCACACATCTCTGTATTTTCTATTTCATTTTTTCCCTCCTTGTTCACAGTTACTCTGTGGCCAAGATGTCTTTAGATATTTTCTAGTCTTTCACTAACTCTTCTCTTTATAATGTCACTAATAATTCTGGCATGGATTTTCTTGGGAGGAGCATTTAGACTCCCATTGGATAATAAACCTTTAAACTTGTTATTTAAGTATATCCTGAAGGTAATATCTTTTTAAGTTGGATATATACAACTACATCTATGTTTAAAAAATGTTTTAGACAATGTTAAGTTTCATATTTTTTTCTACAGTATTGTGTTATATAGATTGAATCCTACCACCTAATTCAAGCTAGTGTGAAACTATATCTTAAAGCTTTATTTATGTATATGATTTACTTATATAAATACATTTCTAGATTTTGAAAGAGTTACGAATATAATCAAAACTAGCTTTATGTCTTTAGTGATAGAATCTTATTTTTCTCTGTGAGCTAAATTGGATGTGTACTTTTTCAAATTTTCAAGTTCTTTAAAGAAGGAGGCTGATAAGCAAGTTACTAAGTATGTTACAGGTAGATTTCTACTTTTGATGGCTGCTTTTTTTAATTGTTTGGAGAGAAAACTAAAATGCTCATTACTAGTTTGGTTAATAATACTAGTGTTAATCATCTAAAATTCTTACCAGTTATGAATTGTAATTGAGGTAAGAATCAAAAACCCATTAAAGTCTGAGATTTTATTTTCTTTTCTATTAAAATAATTATTTTCTTGAAGTGGTAGAAATGTTTCTGTGACATTTCAGTTTACTATAGGTGGTCATTATATATAACAAATGATAACCATATTCCAGACTTTCCCCCAAATGATATTAATGTGCCTTTTGCTCTACGCTTCAACAGGTGGAGAGGTCGTAAAAATAGCTCAGTTAGCATCCATCGCGGGCCCACAGAGCCGGGTGGCGCAGCCCGAGACACCAGTGACACTGCAGTTCCAGGGGAGCAAATTCACACTGTCACACAGCCAGCTCCGGCAGCTCACGGCAGGCCAGCCGTTGCAGCTGCAAGGTAAGAGGGCCAGTATTGATGCTGACAGTGGTAGGATAGCCCTGTCCTACTACACTGATGTAGGCAAGTGATTCAGCCTCTTTCAAGCTTCATGTTTACCTCCAGGTGTATTTGTATTAATGAGTCTTACCACATAGGGTTGTAGAGGACCAGTGAGAGAGTACTTGTCAGCATCTGATTGCTTGCTACTAGATATGTGTTTAGTAAATGATACTCTTTTTTTTTTTTTTTTGAG